ATATTTATGTTTGTGGTTGTAATGTGACAAAATATGAAAAAGTTCAAGGGGTATGAATACTTTTGCAAACCACTGTATATAGAACAAGTGAACAGGATGCAAGTTAAAGGTCCAAAGTTTTTATTAGCAGAACTATGACGGGGGAAAGAAACAAAAAGTTAGTTATTAAAACTACACAAACAAAAAGGAATCCATCACAAAACAGAGGGCAACAACACAGGAAAACCAGGATTTACCAGTGGAAAAACAATAAATCAAAGTTCAGCTGTGAAAATAAAGCAAAACTGTAAAACACATCATCCTGATTTCTTTCTTTCTTTCTTTTTTACAATTTTGTATTGGTGTTTACCCAACATGCACAAAACCCAAAAATAAAATAAAATAAATAAAATAAAATAAATGTCTCATTTATGCTTAAAAACATGCAGTTTGATCAAACCTTGTGACAGACGTTATAAGCAACTTAATGCATTACTGTGACATCATGCAATCTGTGTTAGCACTTAGAGTGTGTGCTTAAGGATGACTATTAGCACCAAAAATAACTCAATATCCGGAAATTGACTGAGTTATGACCATGTTGGGTCTCTAAGCTTGTGTAGCTGTGGCAGCTGCAGTGAGTTGGGTTGACAAGTTGAGAATGTTTTTGGAGCTTTTCACAAAATCTGTCCAACAGTTGATGGCATATTTTGCTTGCAGAGAGACCTTGCCTAATGTGACCACATTTTCACTCAATATGGTATTTGGAAGTGGACGCAGCATCTGTCACTCAGCTGTGGCAGCCAGCTTAATTAGGTTCTAAAAGTTATTATGCAATTTGTCCCGTGGCTAAGTTTTTTTTCTAATACTACAGACAAGTTGTGGAAAAAAAATCTTGTATAGCCCTAATTCTCCATTGTACAAATGGACACACACATGCACCAAAACATTATCCACCTTCAATGGTGAGTGATAAATCCCATCCTGTAAACTGACAATAACAGAGGATTTCAGTGGCTTAATAAAACACACTTTTTGTTAACACCTTTAAAGGCACAGTGTGTAGGATTTGTTGTTTTCAGCGACATCTAGTGGTTGAGTGGTTGACTCATCCTCCC